ATGTCATGTACTTCCTAGGAAAAATATGTTTCATGCATGTGCTGTGGGAAAAATTTGAGGTGTAGTTTAAGTACCTTAGATGGCTGATTTTTGTTATTTTTGCTAGAGAGCAAAATTTGTATAATACATGCATGTGGTAATTTTTGTATAGTGATTATTTACTGTTTAGAATCTAGGAAAAATACTAATTCTGTTGTTTGACACTTTTCATAGTACAAAGTAATTTCATGCTCATTTTATGCTATAGCTTGTCATTTTTGTGTAGGATAGTTTACTTATCCAAATGCCATGAAATTTTTATGGTAGTCTGTTTAGGGTAGTATTATGCTACTGTAATTTTCTCAGATTTTTAGGAACATCAGAAATATAGGTTGCTATTCAAACCTATTATTAATTAGGGTTTAAGCAAGTATTGCCTTAAGTGTGATTAAGAAATTAGTAAAGCTTTGGTGTATCTTTGAAGCATTTATTAAAATATGTTGACTTAACATATGGGTAGTAGAAGAGAATGCAGTAGATGACATGTGCTTGTAGCCTAGTTTCTTGGATGATGTTGTCTACCTTGCCTTTCAACATATTCATTGCATTCATCTCCTCTTTGATGCACCGATTGCATAGGCACTTACACGCATTGCATCATACAGGATCGCAAACCGAGAACCCGGTCGTCATTCCCGAGGAGCCCGAGGAAGCGATTCGAGTGCACCGCGAGAAGTGCCGAAGCCGACGAGGAGGCGTTGAAGAACTTAGAGTGCCCCGATCACCGTCCGAGCTCCTTCGAGAGAGCAAGCAAGCCCGAGCATCTTTCTCCCGGTTTGCAATGATTTCGTTAAATGCTTTACTTTAAATTGATGCATTACGTTCAGGAGTTGTTTGCAACGTTCTTTTGCATTATACCTTGTTTACCTTTGTTATACTATATCCTTGTTACCCTGGTATCCATGATCGAGTCAATGCTTATTTGGCTTAGACCGGTAGAAGTCGGGTGATTTCTGTCACCTGCGAGCTATAGGTGGTTACACGGATCTGTTTGGATGGCTATGAAGTCATGGTATAACTAAGTGTTAAATGAAGTTGAGACAAAGGCGGAGACTTGCGGGGTTTTGGACTGTAGTGTTTCCGTGCGTCAGGTCGATTAAGGACCGACCGTTGTTGGGCCTCGAGTCATGTTGAACATGCCTTACATTTAGGTGGCCGGATAAAGTACCTTCCGACCCATGAAGCCGGGAGATTTTTCGGGCCGAGTAGATTGCCCATGCCCAGACCTTGTGCGAAAGCGGTGTGGTAGGACACGAGGCGGGATGATAAGACCAAAGTGCGATCGGTCGGCCCCCGGTACATGTGGTTCTGGCAAACTCGAGATACCGGAAAGTTGACTCGGTGATCAATATCTCACTTTAGCGGGTGAGTGAGATTTGTGTAAGGAATAAATCACCAGCTGGTTAGGAATCGATTCGAATCGCCATCGCTCCTGGATAGTGAGCACTTGACTTGAGTGACTTCATCGTAGTAAATGTTTATGGAACACTTGGACAGTTATAGTGAATATGACAAGATATGGAAGTTGTTTAATGATCGGTGGTTATCATTAATTGCTTAATCACATGTTTACTTTAGTATAGGTGCAAATCTAGTCGACAGAGTTAATAATAATTAACTTGGCAATAATGCTTTAGAAAGGTCCTTGAAATGCTAAAAAATGCTTCTTTTCGCAAATGAGTCAACTACCCTACTATAATGCCTGCATAATCCTTGGTGTCATTTATTTTTCGGTTATGTCGGGTGAAGTCCGGGTGAGTACATTCTCGTACTCGGGGTTTTATTCCCACTTGTTGCGAGATGGGCGAGATGTACTATGGCTATTGTATCAAGCTGCCTCTATCCTGCGATGGGTGATGCTTAGGACCATGGGCATGGTCATTCCTTAAATCTCATCTAATGCTTTTGTTGGAGATGATCATCATTTGGCACTATATTTGAACTCCGTGTGAGTGTGTGTGGTTTTAAACAAATGACTTCCGCTACTTTTTTTATTCGAACTTGTTTTGTAATAACTTTTATTTAAACTCGATGTATACATTATGGAAACTTTTATGTAATATGTGATTGGTGACCGCTAAACTTATTACGATCATGGCTGGGACACGAGTTGGTTTGAAATCCTTCGTGATTTCACGGACTACCGGGTTATACGGGCTTAAGTTTGCTCAATCGTCTGCTCTGGTGGATGATTTTCTTACTTAATTTCGTATAATTGGTCGGTTCTGTTACACTTCCCCTGCTCTCCCGCTCGCTGGTAGGTCCGCTTCTCCCGCGCGCTCCTCTCTCCGCGCTCTATTTCTCCCGCGCGCCCACTCTTTTCCCCGCCCTTTCTTCCGCCATTTCCCGCCGCCCAGAAACTGACCCCTGTATGGCGCCCGCCACGCACGATTAGGCGCGAATCGGACGCCAAATAGACGACTTCCGGACGCCATGGTAGTAAGGCGGACGCCATACCAATCTGAGGCGAGTCGTCCGCCAAGTCGTCCTGCCTGTAGCGCCTTGCCGATTAGGCGACGCCAAAGCGACGCCAAAGCGACGCCTTAAAAACATTGATTGATCGTTTTCCTGTCAAGAGTGAAAAGAAAAGAAACATTCTTGACCTGTTCTATGAGGATTTGGTCAGATGGTCATGGTGCAAAAAATAGCAGGACAATCCAATTTTGTAAAACCATTGTCCATGGCTGTGAGTGTAGGTGAGACTGCTTGTTTGTTTTAAAGGGTTTAAAGAATGGCTATCTTATCTCCTCCGTTCTAAATTATAAGACATTTTGACTTTTTTAGATACATTGTTTTTATTATGTATCTAGATACTGAACTATGTATCTAGAAAGACCAAAACGTCTTATAGTTCAGAATTTTAGAATGGAATGAGTATTTAAAAAATTGACTAATTGTATGGGTGTGTGTTTAAATGACTAATTGTATGCGTTTCGTGAAAAGGAAACCCCTCCTTGGGGCGTGTCGTATACTAACTAAAAGTTAAGGAACTTATACCTTTATTAATTCTCCGGTGAATTACAGAATATATGTTCTCCACAGGCGCCTAATACACATCGACTATATATGGGTCATCTTTGGTGAAAGGCTCTCTTATAGTTCAGAAATTTGGAATGGAAGGAGTATTTAAAATTTGACTAATTGTATGTGTGTGTGTTTAAATGACTAATTGTATGCGTCTCATGAAAAGGAAACCCCTCCTTGGGGCGTGTCTGTATACTAATATATATAAATTAAATAATAAAAACTAAAAGTTATGGAACTTATACCTTTATTAATTCTCTGGAGAATTACAGAATATATGTTCTCCCTAAGACGCCTAATACATTTGACTATATATGGGCCATCCTTGACTAAATTAGGCCCCGTTTGGCAGGGTTTCACTTCACTAGTGAAGTCATTTTTTTTTTGCTTCAGCTCCACGAACAGTTCCACCGGTGGAGCTAAAGCGGTTTTGGTAAACTGTTTGGTAAAATAGCTTCCCTGTGAGAGCATGTTTTTAGTAGCTTGGAGGAGGAGCTGGGAGAAGCCACTTTTTTTGGCTCCATTCCACCCCAAATCACTGTGAGAGCATGTTTTTAGGGGCTTCACAAGTGAAGCTATTTTACTTTACCCCGTTTGGTAGAAAACGGCTCCAAACGGCTCCTGGAGCCGGTGGAGAAGCCCTGCCAAACGGGGCCTTAGTATATCATGTGTACTCTGAGGAGGAGCTGCGTGTTTGGGTAGAAATACTCCCTTTTGTGTCCCCTTTTATCCATCTTTCTCACTTTCGAGAAATAAAACATTCTTAACTTTGTTTAAATATATAAAATAAAATATAAATATTTTATAGTACGTAGTTAGTATCATTAGATAGATTGCTGAATCTATTTTCATAATAAATTTATTGAGAGATATCAATATTGTTAATATTTTCTATAAACTTAGTCCAACTTGCGAAATTTTGACCGACACAAATCTCACGACAACACTTTAAATAGGGACGGAGGGAGTAGAAGCTTTCATCTCAAAAGGGCACGTTGGCCCAGATGCTCTAGCTCTCGATCCATGACATGCTGATTGCTGATCATCTTATAGCCCTGTTCGTTTTTTCTATGATTCGTACTTTTCAGCTTGTTTTTTCAGTCGGAATAGTGTTTTTCTCTCGCACCAAATCAGTCAGAACAGTGTTTCGGCTTGTTTTTTCAGTGAAGCGAACGGGACCAGTCTCATCACCTGATTGTTTGTGTCCTCAGTTACAATAGAAGGAAGAATGGATTTAATTCTACAGAGGAGGAAAATATTAAATATGCACCTAATTTAAGTGAAAAATGGAAGGAAAGACTTACTTATCATTAAAACTGGTCCATGCTGTCCATGTAAACTCCAGCAGACATGGTGTTGCGGTTGAAACGGACAAGAATAAACGCCCTGTTCGTTTGGGCTTATTTGACTGATAAGCTATGGCTGAAAGTACTATTGACTGAATTGGTGTGAGAGAAAAATAATATTCGTTGTCTAAAAAAGTACGGCTTATAAGCCAAATAAGCCCAAGCGAACAGGACGAAAGTTTGGACACTGGTCAAACTATGAAGATGGAGTTGTACCCCCAAACTTTTTGGGCACAGTACACATACCACCACAGAAAAATGAGAAAACACACAAGATTTCGCAAATCTCACGGCCACAAATCCTAACCGAAAACGAAGAGAAAACGCCGTGAAAAACCTCACGAAAATCTTCCAAGAGGCCAAAGCAGCTACTCCCAGCCGCACGTGATGCAGTAGAGGAGTCCAAACCCTAACTCCGTCGCCCGCCGCAGCCATCCCCGTCGCGCGCTCCTTTGGCCACCCACCCCCAACCCAAGTACCCAACCGTTTTTTTAATCAGAAACCAGCGGAGCCGACGCCCGACGCCTTCGAATCCAAATTGAGGTCATCCAAAATTTACTAGGACTCGGCGAGCTCGCCTACCGCAACGCCATGGCGCTGCTGGTGCGCGCGCGGCTCTCCTCGCTGGACGACGACGACGACACGTCGTCGCTCTCCTCGGCCTCCTCCTCCCCGCCGCTCTCGCCCGCCGCCGCCGCCTCCTCCACACCGCCGCCGCCGCGCGCGCGCGCCGCGGTGCTCGCCGCCCCGCGGGTCGCGGCGCAGCTCTCGTCCACGGAGGAGGACGTCAGCGAGTCCTTCGACGACACCACCGCCAGCTCCGGCGACGACGCCGACCTGGCGGAGGAGGTGTCCAACGGCTTCTTCTTCACCGTCGCCAGGGTGCCGCCGCCGACGTCCGAGGACCCCAGCCCGGTCCCCGGCAGCGAGGCGGCGGCGGGGGTTGCCGCGGCGGCGGCGCCCGAGGGCGGGGACAGCTTGGGCGACGCGGAGGAGCCGCTGGAGGACAGCTCCGAGAGCGTCTTCGAAGTGCTCGATGCTGGCGCGAGGAACGGGTTGGATGGCGGCGTCATTGCGGATGGCGACGGTACGGACGCCGAGGGTTCGCTGGGTGGTAGCTTGCAAACTTCCGGGAGCTTCATTGGCGCACAGGATGGCGGGGAGCCTGCCGCATCAGGTGATTTCGTGACCGTTTCAGATGGTACCGTGCTGAAGGATGATGATAAGCAGGGGGAGCAGGCTGTCAATGACGCGGAGTCTGAGCCTTTACTGATGCCTGTTGCTGGGGTCAATGACCTGGGCACCGTGGATGCTTTGGAAGGGAAGGGCGTGCCTGATCGCGAGGTTACTGAATCGCTTCCTATTCCGGGTGCTACAGAAGGAGAGGATGCTGGTGCTGAACTTTGCAGCGGCGAGTCCGATGCAAAAGGTAGTACAGCCAAGCTTGATACCAGTCCTGAATATGCTGCCACAGGAGAGGTCACATCCGACGGCGCACAAGTTCGTGATAATGTTGATAACCCAGACTCCATTGCAGATGGTGGCCATAATAAGGTAGGTGAGGAAGGTGACGGTTACCACGATGCTTCTGATGATCTTACATCCATCCCAATCTCTTCAAGCGACGATGCTGTGGAACTTCTTGCAAAAGAATTGGAGGACAATGTGCCTACTTCCAAAGTCACACGCTTTGGTTTGGATGATTCGGATGATGCGGAGATCAATGGCGATGATGACTATGAAGAGGAGATGAATGGAAAGGAGGTTGAGCTTATAGCTTTAATCGAGCTTCTAAGGGCTGCAAGCAGCTCACCTGAACAAGGCAAGGCCAAGGTTTTCCCAGTTGAATCTTCTGAACCCAGGCAGCTGCCTCCTACTGTAGCCAGCAATGCTAGGACGAGCATGGCTTCTGCTCCTGTGCCAGAAGTAACTGCTGACCCTGAGAAAGAGATGACCGACGAGGAAAAGAAGATATACAGAAAGGTGGACATGGCACGAATCAAGTACATGCGTCTTGTTCATAGATTGGGGTATGATACTAACCATCAGGTACCAGTACAAGTGTTGTATCGGCTTAGTCTTGTTGAAGGTTTCAGGCGCGTAAGGATGACAAACCATTCCTCAGAGATCGAGAATGCCTGGAAGAGGGCTTTGCAGCATGAGGCAGAGGGAACTGAGGACCTTGAATTCTCCTGCAATGTATTAGTCCTTGGGAAGACTGGAGTCGGGAAGAGCGCAACAATAAATTCCATCTTCGGGGAAGATAAATCCAAAACAAATGCTTTTCTTCCGGCAACATCATCTGTGAGGGAGATTACTGGAGTTGTTGATGGCGTTAAGTTTCGTGTCATTGACACCCCTGGGCTTGGGACTTCGGCCAAAGATGACAAATCAAATAGGAAAGTGCTCAAAGCTGTTAAGAAGTATATGAAGAGATGCCCTCCAGATATTATTCTGTATGTTGATAGGCTTGATACGCAGCGAGAGGAGGCAAATAGCCTATCTCTCTTGCGAGGCATTACCAGTGTGCTAGGCCTGTCAATATGGCCCAGAACAATTATTACTCTCACTCACTCAGGAGCAGATCCCCCTGAAGGCCCTAATGGTTCCGCGGTGAACTATGATATGATTGTGACCCATCGAACTCATGCAATTCAGCAAAGCATCCGGCAGATAACTAATGATCCTCGAATTCAGAATCCAGTGGCTCTTGTGGAGAACCATCATGAATGTCAGAGGAACGCAGAAGGTGAAAAGGTGCTTCCTGATGGCCTTATCTGGAGGCGGCTCCTCCTTCTCCTATGCTACTCACTGAAGATGATTGCTGAGATTGACAGTCTCTCAAACCGTCGTGCGTCTTCTACAAGTTTTTTAGGTCGCTTTTTCCAGGTGCCTCCAATTCCTCACTTCTTATCATCTTTGTTGCAATCTAGAGAGCACCCTAGGCGTTCCAATGAACATAATGTTGGGAGTGTGGACTCAGATTTTGACCTAGATGAATTGTTGAACGGGGACCAAGAGGATGAAGAAGATGACTATGATCAGCTTCCTCCCTTCAAGCCACTAAGTAAATCCCAGGTTGCAAAGCTCTCTAAGGAGCAACAAAAGTTGTATTTTGATGAATATGATTACCGAACTAAGCTTCTTCAGAAGAAGCAGTTGAAGGAACAACTCGAAAGATTTAAGGAAATGAAGAAGAAAGAGGGCGATGATAATGATGTACCTTCTGATGATGATCATCCCGATGATGGATATGATACAGATAGATATCCTATGCCAGAATGGACCTTGCCATCTTCATTTGATTCTGATGATCCTGTGTACCGCTATCGGTGCCTAGTGTCTACACCAAACCTCCTGGTGCGCGCTGTTAACAATCCTGATGGATGGGATCATGATTATGGATTTGACGGTGTGAGTGTCCAACATAGCCATGATGTTGCTAACAAATATCCAGCTTCTCTGTGTGTTCAAGTTAACAAGGACAAGAGAGAGTTCACCATCCATTTGGATTCCTTGATGTCAGTTAAGCATGGAGACTATGCCTCGAGCCTGGCTGGCTTTGACATCCAAACAATGATGAACCAGCTTGCTTACACCCTCAGAGGGGAGACCAAATTCAAAAACTTCAAGAAAAACGTCACTACCGGTGGTTTATCCATGACTTTTTTGGGAAATACCATGGTGGCTGGAGCAAAGCTTGAAGACAAGCTTTTAGTTGGTAACAGGTTAACACTATCAGGCAACACTGGTGCTGTGTCCATGAGAGGTGATGCTGCATATGGAGTGAATATGGAGGCAACGCTTCGTGAAAAAAGCTATCCTGTAGGTCAAGGCCTTGCCACTTTGGGTGCATCCTTAGTGAAATGGCGTAAAGAGTGGACAATGGCTGCAAATTTGGATTCCCAAGTCTCTGTTGGAAGGTCTTCAAACATGGCAGTTCATGTTGATGTAAACAACAAACTAACTGGACGGGTCAGCATCAAGGCCAACACTTCAGAACAGCTGAACATTGCCCTTTTAGGTACCTGTTCAGTGATAATGTATTTGTGGAACAAGATGCACCCTGGTGCAGATCCTAATGCTGAGTAGCACTGGTTAGTGTGACAATTTTGAACCCTAATATTTTTGTATCCTCTCCTTGTTCCTTCTGTTTTTCTACTTGTTGGTTATAACTACTGTTGAAGCTTGTTAGTCATTCCTCCATTCAGTCTCTTCCCTGTGCCTTCCACACTAATGTTTGGCTATTGCAAATTGCAATTCATGTATACTTTGTTATAGTATGTAGACTTGTTTACTTGTTGGATATCAGTCATATGGTCGTCCTTGTTCTTTAAATCTGTTTGTATTTATTTACAAAAAAAATGCATTATACATTGCAAAGATCCAGAGGCACCAGTGCATTGTTGAGGTGGTTTGGCCATGTCCAAAGGAGACCTTTAGAGGCACCAGTGCATTGTGGAGTCCTAAGCCAAGCTAATAATGTGAGGAGAGGTAGAGGTAGACCGAAATTGACATGGGGGGAGGCAATAAAAAGATATTTGAAAGCTTGGGATATACCTAGAAATCTATGTTTGAATAGGAGTGCTTGGAAAGCAGCTATTGATATGCCTGAACCGTGACTTGGGGCTCTTGGTGGGTTTCAACTCTAGCCTACCCCAACTTGCTTGGGACTGACAGGCTTTGTTGTTGTTGTTGTATACATTGCAAAGATCCAAGAACAAATATTAGATCTCTCATATATGAGCCTGAATTGCTTCCAGTGAAGTGGCTAAGGATCTTTGTTTGGCTAAGTGACTAAGGAACTGTGTTGGGCTTAATGGATAAAGAACTGTGTTGGGCTTATAATGGATAAAGAACTCTGTTGGGCTCAGCTGGCTAAGGAAATGTGTTGGGCTAAATATCTACTTAAGAAACAAATACTAAGTATATTGGGCAAATGGCTTCCAGAGTACCAGACTAATAAATGATCTAGGTTCTTTTTTTGGTCACGACTCATGGCACATACAACTCTTTTCTGAATCCACTTTGTTCTCTTCAGACTTCAGATTGTATTGTATTTCTGTTAATAGATTGCAGTCGTATCTTATGTTTTCTGTTTGAGAACTGTTACAATTAATGGTGCATGAGTCCTTGTTCTACAGTAAGCAAAGCCATATAAAGAAATGTTACATCCTTGTCAGTATGCTTATAGTATTAGTAGCAATCGCCAGTGATATGTATTTTGACCTTTGAAAACTTTCAGTAAAGACTGGGTAAAAAATGTCAAACTTGATTAGAATTGAAAACTTTAAGTAAAGACTGGGTAAAAAATGTCAAACTTGATTAGAATTGCCTTGGCATTTACGCCATGGAAATTTTGACTGGGGTGTCTGCTTATTGATCAAACCTCTAGAATAGTTTGCTCAGTTCGATAGTTTTATCCATATTTCATTGAATTGTTGTTCAAAGGAGTTCTCAAAGCTTTTACTTTGATCTGTCTTAAGAAACCCTTTGAATTTTCTGACATACTTAATGTTGCTGTATTCAGAACTCCCAAGATCCAAGCAGTCACAGGTTGGCAAGCACATCATTTGTGCACCCAGCTTATGATTCAAGAACGGAAGGTAGCTGAAAACTGCACACTCTGGCAACTTGCTAGGAATGGAAGTTGAACCATCGCTTTCTGTCAAGATTCGAGATAAGTGTAGCTGTGCTGGCATTTCTTTTCTTTTTTTTTCATCCAGTGCGCAGTTGGTGGCCAACTTCATGACTGTGATGAGTGACTCAACTTATTATGTCAAAAAAATTGTAATTAGTAACACGTTTGATGAATCATAATGCCCCAAAAAAATTGCTGTCTTTTTTGGCCTCCCTTTCATTAAGCAGTTTCATCCCTTCTAATCAGAAGACACAAAAGTGTGGCCCCTGAAAATTTAGTTTCTGATAGCTTGTCTAATTGTCTTTAGGCAGGCAACATATTGTCATGATTTACACGCTAAATTTGCAGCATATCATATTGGTGAAGTCTTTTGTTTCTGCTAATATCCTTGGCAATTTCTTTGTGGATATCTGGAGATAAGATAAGGTGCTCGAGAAAGCAAGCAAGAGGATTGGCCCACTGGGTTTGGCTTGCCCTTGCAAGTGGGAGGCAGTCTTTTTCATTATTGTTTAGAATAGGATTCGTATTCCATTAATCCATAGGAAAAGAGGAGTCCAATTCAAAGGTGCTTTCTTTTAGTTATATATAAAAAAGGGCCTCCTTTTATTCTTCTTTTTCTGGGTGACTTCTGTGTGTTCTGTCCAAGTTATAATGATGATATGATATTGCACATATAACAAACGATATGATACTGCAAAAATATATCCCGAAAAGAAGCTTTCAGCTTCCTTGCAAGATGCAGCTTTGTTGAATAGGTAGTCTTTGATCTCATTGAACTCCTAGATCTGTTGAGGTTCGTTGCTTGAAATTGGCAAGTGTTCAAATCATTAGTCTTTCATGGGCACGTAGCTGGATTCATGGTTCCTAATAAAATCCCAGCAGCGCTCCTCAGATCATAAGGAAGGAAATGAATGGCCTTTCCTCACAACCAAATGAATCACCTTGACATGCAAAGGGGGAAGCCTTCTGTCAACCATATCAGTTTCTAGACGCTTCTTTGCAAGAAAACAATGAATTCAACATTTCAACTCATGAACATGGTTGCCTCTCGGCTAGGATTAAAGCATCCAACTACTGAACAGATCAATAAGGCAGTGAAGAAGTGATAGTTTCAGACAAGAGCATATAGATAATAAAAAGATCACCACTAGAAGAAGAATCTTCTGAACCAAACCAGATGAGATGGAAGCAAAGGTGGACACGCAAAGCAGGAAGATTATTGTTTTCTCATAGCTATTCACAGGTTCCCCTTATTACAAGATTTCTGGAAAACAAGTTCATGGCTACAAAAGTTTCAGATCTCCCTCTTGAACCCACACCCATGACCCATGCCATGCATGAACTTCCCAAGATCTCAGACTCTCCAAAGACCAGAGACATGGACTACGTACCTCGTTTTTTTCCCCATTCACACCATCATACCATATAGCCATACCCATATCTACCTAGTTAACCAGCCCTCCATGCGTTCATGTTCATGGTGCAAGCAGCAAGCTCCATAATTTACAAGACAAGCTCCAGTTCTTTTTATGGTTCAGTTCTTTGCAGATCTGACCAAGACATGGCCACACAAGCGGCCATGCTCTTGCAAACCCAGATCTCGGTTTGTGTTTTATGTGTGACCCCAGGGAGCCAAGAACATGACTCTCCTTATGGGGTCCTCGGCAGCCGAGCCGCGGCAGTCAGCGCCACGGCTCGATTCGCTGGCCAGCCTGGCCGCCGGTGTGGCGGCGGCGCCGTAGGAGCGCCGGAGTTTCTCACGGAGGGCCTGCTTGACCTCGTGAGCCCAGGAGCCTTCCCCAGCCAGCAGCTGAGGGGGTTTCATGGCTGGCTGGCTGCCTTGCCAAAAGACCAAAAATTCCTACAGCAGTGGTATGGACGAGTCTGAGCAACCAGAGTGTGTGTGCAGAGAAATGGGAGTAGATTCATCAGACGCTTAGTGGTGCGGGGTTATTTATAGGCGGGGGGAGGGGCAAAAAGGGAATTCCACCTGCGCGCTGGTGTGCGCCCGGTATCGGGTTCCAAAGGGCAAAGGGGACCCCTTTTCAAAAAAAAAAAAAAAGGCAAAGGGGATGCGAAGTGGAACCCGGCTAGCTGGCCGGGTAGTTTTGTTTTTAGAACATGTTTGTTTCTAAGAGCGCCTCTGAAATTCCTGTCACATCAAATTTTTGCATGGTGTATTAAATATAGACTAATTATGAAACTAATTACACAACTTACGACTAATTTGCGAGACGAATCTTTTAAGTCTAATTAGTCCATGATTTGACAACGTGGTGCTACAGTAAGCATGTGCTGATGACAAATTAATTAGGCTTAAAAAATCGTCTCGCAAATTAGTCTCCATCTATGTAATTGGTTTTATAATTAATCTATATTTAATGTTCTTTATTAATATTTAAATATTCGATGTGACATGAATTTTAGGAGCGACTAAAGAACCAAACACCCCCTTAGTTGGGGTTCCTTCTGGCTTTGCAATGTCAGTATCATGACGTTGATTAAAATTTTAAAAATAGTGATGATCAAATGTCCTTTGGCGACAGGTTGCTCAACAAAGTCTTGAAAAATCTTGCAAGAGTTCAAGTCGGACTGGTCGAATCTGAGTGGTTTTGTTTTGGATGATTTGGTTTCAAATGGCGCCAGCAAATTCTCAACTACTTGCTCCGTTGAACTATAATTCCTGAGTTTTTTATGTTGAAGGAGGATCCGGAGCTGGACTGGACACACATGTGGTTTGTTTGGTACTCCTTGGGTTTTAAATTATAAGTTATTCTGTTTTTTTAAATATGTTGCTTTTAATATATATATATATATATATATATATATATATATATATATATATATATATATATATAGACATAATATATATTTTATGTACTTAGCAAAAGCTATATATCTAAGAAAGGCAGAACTGATGTTGGTGTTTCGAGTTACCGACTAGTAAATTTCTAGTATTGCGTGTCTGGCTCGGATGGTGTGCTTAGAGGACACGAAGTTTATACTGGTTCGGACGGAAAGTCCCTACGTCCCGATTAAATCGATCTTTGCTCGCGTTACTAACAACCGAAAGCTTTATGAGGGGTTACAAACGGGCGAGAGAGGGACGATATCCCAAGTCTCTGGTGTGTGTTGCTAGGATGTGTCGTGTGTGTTCAGCCGTATTTTTGCGTGTCCTTCATGGGGCGTCCTGCTTTTCCTTTTATAGTCCAAAGGGATGAGCAGATTACAGAGAAGGAGAGAGAGAGAGGAGAAAAGTCAAGGGGAAGAAGGCCTCTCGGATCGCTGGGCCTTTCTTCCCCTTTATGCGGGTCCCACCGGCACTGCAGAAGGTGACAAGGACGGCTCCAAGCTGGGCGCCTAATCGCCTCTGATGCCACGACCTGGCGTTGTCAACGGGTCGTAGCGTCCCATCCCGTCCCGACGGGCGACGTGGCGGACCAGCGTTCTGGTTAGCGACCGTACAGGGAGTAGGCAACATAGTGACCACGCGCGCGGTCACTGTTGGTGGTGTGAATTCCCTGGAGTGACATGCCGTGGGCACGGGTCATGATGAGATGTGCACACTCTATACACGGTGCCAGAAGTTTGACCTTTGGGTTGTACTTTCTGATCCGTAGTGGTTGGCGACGGTATGGGCTTCCGTCGGGAGCCGCGCCTGAGGGGTCAGGCGAGGCGGAACTCCCGACCCAGAGGCCGGACGAGGCGGAGCCCCCGACCCAGAGGTCGGGCGAGGCGGAACCTGCCCCTAGTGGTCGGGCGAGGCGGAGCTCGTGCCCCAGCGGTTGGGCGAGGCGGAACCTGCGCGCCTGGGGGTCGGTTGGAGCTGTAGTCGCGCGCTTGACTGCTTAGGGGAATCAATGTTGATGAGCATTAGCTCCTCCTCTTCGGATACTCTGTTATTGGTCCCCGACAACTGACTTGTAATTTAAAATAGAGGAAGTATAATTTATAATAGTTTATCACCAAAATAAGTTGAAAAACCAAACGACGTGTTTTTTCATCTTTTTCTGGCCGTGTTTCTCCCCCGTAGTCAGCCAGGTTCGATCAACTTTTTTTTGGGTAGAATTAGATCATCTTTTCTGACCGTGCTTTGTTCTCTATTTGTATACAGCCTGTTCGGCAGCTCGTATCTGGCTTATAAGCTTTAGCTTATCAGCCAACGAACAATATTTTTCTCTCACATCAAACTAGCCAGCAGTACTTTCAGTCATAGCTTATAAGCCAATCCAGCCGAATCAAACAGGCTGATAGTCTGAGAAAAGCTATACCGAGCTATCTGTTCAGAGTTGCCACGTTTTGAGGGTTACCGTTACAAACAGAACCTATGTTTATTGTAGTCATCGTGTTCGCTAACCTTTCACTTTCTTCTTGCTCTTTGCTTAGGACATAAAAAAGGTCTCCGACAAGCATGTTTGGTTATTACCTTCCATAATTGTTTTTAAGCAAAACTTAATACATATTTAATTTGATGATGTGAAGGGCAAATCCCCTAATAGTAGGCTGTACCATTTTCCATGTGCAACAAATGTCTTCATATAACTTTGTGCGTGTGTATTAGTAATCAAAGTATTCAATGTCTAACCGTACGTTTTTCCTAGAATTTGAGACTGAAGGGAGTTAAACAAACAGCATTTGAACCACAACTTCCTGCTAGTAGTTTCCCTGTAAAAAGAACTGCATTGCATGCGGCTAGAATTCTTTTCCGATTTAGAGGAAGTGTAATAATAAAGTACAGTAGGTGAAAGTGTAATAAAAGAAGATTTGTGAGAGAAAGGGAAGAAAAGCATGCTGCACACTTGTATGCAGCTAATGCACATGCTCTAAGAATATTTGTGAGAGATCAAGATGGATTAGATGTTAATGGTCTAATATGTGGTTCACAAGCTATTATAACTTTCTGATTATATTAGTTGGTTGTATATGGCGTGACAGCAACATAAAACTTTCTGATTATATTAGTAACCATGCCCTTACTTGAGTGAACGTATCCTGATAATATTCCACCGCTCAGTTCTGGTTGAAATGAAAGCCAAATATAACCGATCATTGATTCCATTCGAGTAAAATAAAGATACATGTCGATCGAACTGAGTGTAGTTAGGTTCCACTTGACCGCGGGTGATCATATTTTTTTCAATTTTACTGTAGGATTTAATGACACTATTTTTTCTGGTGAATTTGTCAATTTGAAGATTTGTTACCTCAGTCGTCCCAGTGTTTGGAGAGTGCTTATATGTGTAGGGTGTGCCCGAGTGAGTGCGCGTCGTATGAGTATTTATGCATCTCTGCTACGCTTAGAGCAAGACTAATAATATAACATGTTAGTGGTTGTATGAAAATTTATAGCTCACCTATCAATCTATATTTATAGTAGTTAGCTCAACTATGGCTTCCTGCTTTCTATCATAAAAGTTTTTTAGTTTTTGTGTATAAGCTATAAACTTAGGCCCCGTTCGGCTTGCTGAAACTGGCTGAAAAACACTGTTCTGACTGAATTGTTATGAGAGAAAAATATTATTCCGCCTAAAAAACAAGCCGAACAAGTCGATTTCTATGGTGCCCTGCTGTCCACCTGGACCATGTTTAGTTCCACCGAATTTCAAACTTTGACACTATATAAAAAGAAGATTTTCCGTCACATCAAATTTACGGTACATGCATGGAGTACTAAATGTTGACGAAATTAAAAACTAATTGCACAGTTTGGTTGTACTTTGCAAGATGAACATTTTGAACCTAATTAATCAACAATTGAATAATTATTACTAAATACAAACGAAATGCTATAATACACTATATTATATCGAGATTCCGGCGGCGCCGATTCCGGCCGCAACTAAACGCGGCCCTGCTTTTGTCTTGTACGTAGGGCAGCTGGCCAGTGACGTCCGCACAGCCCAGCGCAGGCGCAGCGGCGGTGCACGTCGCCGTCGTGGGCCCCGCACCCTGACTCGGCCTCGCACTCACTCCCTTGCGCCCTGCGGGCCCCGCCAATCACTCTCGATCGGTCGACGGTCGCTGGCTCGCTAGTCACTGCTAGCCCACCACTGCTAGACCGTATCGACTATGGACAAACAAAACAGGTGCTACCTTGAGAATATAAAATATATCAATACCTAATAATAAAAAATCAAAATTTCTCCACCCTGATTTTGATCCGGCCCATTCTTCGTCTGGCCCAACTGTCCACCCACACTCTTTCAGCCCACTTGCGGCCCATTCGCTGGACCAACTGCTCACAGCTCACGTTTCTCTGCGATTAAAAAAAACGCATGTTCGTCTCCCCGGCTACGATCGTCTCGTCCGCCCGAGTTGCGGTGGCGCCGCCAAATGACAGCCATGCACGTGAGCCTATCTGCCTCAGCCTCCGGGCGGCCGCCGGCCGGAACGAGATCCTCAGCAGTCGAGGGATCTACCCCGTCCGTTCCATCCAAAGGCCATCTCACGGTCCTCGTTTAGCAGGCCGTACGACAGGGCCTCGAGGTCAGTTATGCACAAGAAAGATGGCGGCGGAGTTTAAGGACCGAGTCGTCCATGGAGTGCTCCGCCAACGGCGGCCTTGGCGAAGAACCGAAGATGCAGCCCCCGAGTCGACGAAGTCCGCGTAGACATCGCCAGCCACGAACGAGCTCCGCGGCAGCGGCGAGCCGGGGCGGGGTGTCCACGAGCTCTGCACGCGACGGCGCGGCCGCGCACGAGCTGGGGCGCATGCTACCGGTGCAGGGTAGCTGCGAGCTCCGCGAGCAGCGGCGCCGGCCAGCATGCCCGAGCTCCGTGGCCGCGGCGAGCCGAGACGATGCCGGGGTGCATGCGGGTACCGGG